CTAGGAATTGCATAAGTAGGTATATGTGTCAATCAAGCATATATACAGAAGGAGCGAGCGAGTGAGCACTTGCCTCCATCGTCACGGCACCAAGCTGCACCAGTCCTCCGTCGGCGCCGCTGCCGTTGGTCGTGGACTCCGTGCCATGTGATTCAACCGCACGACGCCTCGCCAATATCAGCAGGCCTCCTCTGGATCCCTCTCTGCTCTCATATCTCATCCGGCTGTCATGGCCGTGGACGCCGGCTCGAGGACGGCCTCGACGTCGGAGGAGGCCGCGCCGGATCGCGGGCTTGCGGCTCAGGGCGGACGAGGCTGCGCCAGATCGCCGTGCGGGCCGTCGGATATGTGGCTGCTTTGCGGTCGTGGGCGCAGGGGTCGTAGGCGTCGCGTCGCGTCCGACAGTGGCACAGCGGCGGCGGCTTGGCGAGGTCGTCCGGTGGCAGTTCCTTGGAGCGAGACGAGCAACCCTAATCACTGGTGCCGGGCGTGAGAGAGGAGGGGTCGCAGGGAGAGGAGGGGTCGGCGAGGTGGATCGCGGCGCAGGGAAGGCTGGGCGTGACTTGCCGCCCGAGATCGATGGCGAGGTTTCCTGCGAAATGACTTCCCTAAAGCGTGCTGTCGGTCCCACGTGGTGGAGCCTTTCATCTGTGTAGCGATGGGCTTCGCACGATCTCTGGCAGTGTACGGAATAGTTATGAATGTTTTAGTTGTAGATATATATTTTCACCCAGCCAATAACTTTTTTTTATATCATGTGTGCACTCTAAGAGTTAGTCTTGCGCTTTTCATCTTTATTAACGAGAAATCCATAAAAATATTTGGAGATCTAATTAAAAGGCTATTGAAGGGTATTTTTCACTAAAATTTCTATTCCTATCAATTAAGAATAATTATGAAAAATATAAAGAGACTCTTGCAATTATTCTAAATTATTAGAGCACATCACTTGACAGTGGCTCTTGAATTACAGTTACAACGTGTTGGCATGAACCAGTACGAGTCAGTCCACTACTAGGACACCTGGTTGAGCCCGGTGATCCGGGCGCACTCCTGGCTGACGACGGCGGCCGTGGATGGGCTGCGGCCGACCAAGACGTCGTAGCCGTCGGTCCAGCTCTCCATCCCGGGCACCATCACCTGCCAGAAGAGGCCCCCCGCAAGCGGGCCTCCCGCGCTCGCCGACGCGTAGATCGCGTCGTACACCATGCGGAAGTAGGCGTCCCGCATCGACACCGTGTAGCCGTTGGACCGCGCGGACCAGCCGAACTCCGCCACCAGCAGCGGCTTCCGCAGCACCGCCGCGGCGTCGCCGGCGTGCGACGCCATCCACCGCCGCATGAACGCCACCTGCGCGTCGTTGCTCGCGCCGGGCACCCTGCACCCGGACCGGTACGGGAGCCGTTCTCAGCGCGGTTGCCGTGCATTCACGCATGTACCTTGAGTGTCGTTAGAACTTAACATTGGTCGGGGTACGAGTGGATCGTGGCGAAATCGATTCCGGGGATCAGGTTGTTGGAGATGAAATCGGTGCCGACGGCGTAGCCGCCCGGGTTGAAGTTGTGCGTGCGGTCGGGCGTGGACTCGCCGTAGAAGCCTTCGAGACCGATCTCCAGCATGTGGTTTGGATCCACGGACTTGACGTAGCCGGCCATCTCCGTGATCCACGACTGCAGAGTCTTCCCGGAGAGGTCGCTCTGGCAGCGAGGCTCGTTCATGAGCTCCCACGCGAAGATGGTTGGGTTGTCCTTGTACGCCACTCCCGTGATCTTGTTCACTCTCGTGAGGACCGCCTGTGCATGTGGACACACACACAGAATGGTGCATCAGGCGTCTTGAGATAAATGCTAGTACAGATTATTATTTACACATGTTTATTTATAATTTATACAGGAAGCATATGTATGGACAATGGAGACATGGAGTGGTCGACGGGCCTTGACATGGTTCTTGTAGAACACTTTGGTCACGCTGTTCGTGAAGAAGTCATCATCAGAATTAAGGTTGTGCCCCTGGGTTCTTGCCCACTGCACGTACTGCTTCTTTCCGCCGTACCCATCCCAGTTGTTCACCAGGCTCAGAATCAGATGGATCCCGCGCTTCTTTGCTTCGGATATCACATAGTCCAGACCCTGAGTTAATACAGAGAGAACACGATCGATGTTACTTCATTACCATCGTGCATACTATATCTGTCATTGTTGGCAATCTGAAGAAAATTTTCAGAGAACAATGATGCACAAAATCCATTCAACCATGCATGTATTGCTTCAAAAAAATCATAACCAAAAAGCCGAAATATAACTTGTGCAGTTGTGCTTAACAAAAAAATAAGTAGCATGTGCAATCGGAAAAAAAAAGTTGCATGTGCGGCCAAGATTGATTGAGCTAATAATACGACCGCCGTCCGATACCATACGACATACATACCCTGAACACCTCCTCGTTGTACACCCCGGGCGACACCTGCAGCGCCCGGTAGCCCCCGTCGCTGAACGCCCACGTCCGCACCAGCGTGGCGCCGACGCGGGCGGCCTCATCCAGCGCGGCCGTCGCCTTGCTCCGGTCGGCCGGGTCCGACGCCATGTACATGAGCCAGTACGCGTTGAAGCCGTTCGAGTAGAACGGCCGCCCACCGAGCGTGAAGCGCGTCCCGCTCGCCTTCGCAAAGGCGGCGGCGTTGTTGCCGGCCTCGCCGGCGCCGTGGCAGGTTCGCACGAATGCGGCGGCCGCTAGGGCGGCCAGGACGGCCAAACCCAACAAGATCACCCGTCTGCTCGCCATTGTCTTTGTACACACAAGCCGACGTTACGATGATCGACAAGATGCAATCTTGTTGCAATGTTAACGACGATCAGTGTTCGTTATTTGGTACATGTGTGGGTACATAGGACTTGTTCGTGGGAGTGCGCTTAATTATATAGTAACGGCGATAGATCGCGCCATGGCTGGAGACTGGGACTAGGGCAGAGGCGAGACGCCATGACGATACGCGTGCTTGCGAGTTGCGACCTTGCGTGCATAGGTCGTTGCCTCTTCGGGTCCCGTCCTGTTAGCATGCATGCATCATGGCACGAAACTACTAACTGCGTGGCGTAGTGGGGTGTGCGTGGGGAGATTAGGCTGGCTGGCCGGCTGGGGCTGGGCTGGCCAGCGCACTCACACGGTCACTGTTTACGTGAACAGTGTTATCAGACAGAACAGTATTTTCTCTCACAACAATCAGTCGGAACAGTATTTTGATTTATTTTTCAGTCCTGCCGAACAGACCCTAGGAGACAGCGGGCCGTTTGGTTGGAGGAAGATGAAAGGATGTTCCAATGTCCCACGCTGCTGGATCGTCAGGGGAAGTTGTGCAAAAAGATGTGTATGCGTGATGATACAAGTGGACGTGTTATCACTTGTCTTTCATCTCCAATACTTCCATCTCTTCACATTCACCTTGTTGAGTTTTTGCATCACATGCATCATGCCATTTACACTTCATGGCTTCATGTAGCTCAACCTTGCTTGTGGACTATTTTCAATATTTCATCTCACATTTGAAATCATTAGTGCACAAATTTTGTCATTCAATTACCAAAATCCAGACAGGTCTTTTTGGCATGTCATCCTCCGATGCCTTGCTTCCACACCGTGCTCGCTAGATAACACATGTGGTCGCATTAGGCATGTGTCTGGGCCTAAGGTTGGGCTCGCTGGATGGCATTGCAAGTTTAGCCCGTAGTGCCGTGCTGGCCTGATGCCAATTGTGTCGTCCAATAGGGGCCACCCATATTTAAGGTTGATATTAGAAGAAACTTGTTGATATTTTTTTTCTGAGCAATCTTCATACACTGACTGAGAATATTTTGTAGATGGTTTGCACTTCGTTCATTAGTTTTCAGGAGTAGCGAAGAGTCGCAAATAAAAAATAATTGATACTCGGCGTATTTTGGCACATACCTGGCACAAGACGCGACTACAGAATTCTTGTTCTGATTTTTCTGATTATTCAAAGCTAGGAGATTGAATGGCTTGGGCTGTACAGAAGTCTGCACTAGCTGGAACGTTGCATTTTTTTTGTTCTACATCGAAGCCATGCATGCATCTCAGGTGCCTTTCTTCTACATCGAAGCCATCAGTCACAAATCAATCACATCTTGTAGGGTTTGTTGCATTCCATGTTAACATAATCGTTTTAATCTTCTATTTCGAAGGAAGGGATCAATGGAATATATACTTTTGTGGTCGCTATAAAACTTCTTAGTGAAAACGTGTTTATCATGATACAAAAAAAAAGGAGGAAAATTTTTGTCGTCTCAATTCCAAATTTCCAATCACTGCCAACCAATAACAAACAAGCCAAATCTCAGTACTGAACCGCAAGCCTCCAGGAGACCAGGACTGAATCAAACTAAGTTTCAAAAGAACGAAGAGAGCAAGCTGCATTCTGGCGCAGCCCTGACCTTTTTTCATTACGTGTAATGCGCCCATGATTTGGGTTACATACACAATTCCAGGAAAGCTACACATCAAGCGGGATAAATATCAGCTCAATCCAGATTCTAACTAGCATGAAGCTCATGAAACGAACTTTTTCTACCGGGTGTACAGAGTTTCATTGTCGCAGACTATACTGCAGTATTCAAGTAGTCCACGCCATTAGCTACACGAGTGGATTTCGCTCAATGACTTTCTTCATCTGCAACTCCAAAATGATATCTTGTTCATCAGATTGTGCAAATCCCATTGACAATTAGGCCATGTAGTCAAAATCCAATTGACTTCAAATCCATAACTGTTGCCTGAGAAGAGCTCTTGAGAAAGATACACAATTCTAGCATTAGAAACTATTTTGGGATAATACATACACAAATACAAAATTATAAGCAGCAAAGCATTAATATTGAACTAGTGTGAGTTTTAGATGTTAAAGTACATATAATATAAATGTCAAAGGGACTCACCGAATAGAACTATATCCATTGCTGGATCCAGAGGCACCAACTGTGCCACACCTAGCAAGCACGGTAGGTAAAGCAGCAGCTGAAAGGCTTGCCAGTTTTGACAAAAGAAGATTTCTTCTTGGTTGTCCCCGCACCACACTGATCTTCACTAGAAGAAACTACACTTCGCATGTCTTGTGCTTTCTTCTGAGCAGAGCGGAGTTTGACTAAAATTTTGTCCATTGACGATGATCTTTTCTTTTCAAGTTTCATCTGGAAAACAGAGGATTCAATATGTAAGTTTATTTCATAAGATACGTAGCAAAAATGAGTAGACCAGGGGGTGGGGTTCAAACATTTGAAACTATACATGTGGACCACAAACAATACCTCCAGCTTCCGAATAGCTGCCTCTGCTTTGGCTTTCTGTAGATTTTCCCAAGCAGTGATCTTTGCTTCCTCCCTTTTGCACCTTAATAACACAAATAATGAGAGGTGCAGTTATTATAATTTTTTGAAATTGCAAAAAAAAGAAGAATGTGTAAGAGTAGCACATTAATTCTATGAATACCTCATGCTTTCTATTTTATGTTTTACCACCTCATCAGTAAGAAAACGAACAATGCTTTATAGTCTGAGCTTCTATTGCATTGTGGCAAAAAAAAAAAAAAAAAAAAAAAAAAACTTGACCATGGGAGAAAAATATCCCCTTGGGTTCCTCTTAAAAGAAGGGAGTAACAGACCCTGGCTGGCCAGGAAACTTGCTGAAACCAGTTCTCAGTGAGGTATCCAGAGTCTTTGAACATCAGGGTTCGAGCTCAGGTGGGCACTCTAATAAATGAAAGATTGCGTAAGTGATATTCCGTATGTGCCACTAGCTGTAGGATGAAAATGGACAACTAGTACTCAAGTGGGCAAAATATTTCAAGTGTATCACCTAAGGTCACTATCTGAAATTTAGTCCAACTGACTGTCTGCAAGTTATTTTAAGTTCTCAATAATACTAAGAGCATATTAGCAGGTCATTTAATAATAGTCAATCAACATTCAGCACAAGTCCTTTCTGTGAATTTGAACAGGTATTACAGCCATAGTAGCTTCACTTCAACATTGAGCTGTCTTTTCTTAGTAAACATGAAATAGGACAACGGCAGCTTGCAGTATTAGAAGTTACAAGATGACAATTGGACCAATATATTCTTTTTGCATTAGTCCAATTCAAAACTGGGCAGTGGTGTGAAATGGGATTTTTAGCAGATGGGCAGATGTAGGCAATATCTTACTTTGACATGCACCTTTCTCTTTCTTTTTCATCAAAAGATGGAGCTCGGGTTTCAACAGTCTTCTTCCTCCATTCAACGATATTTGTTGACCTCTTATCAGAGCCTCGTGTAACATGTCGCTTGGACCACCGAGTCACAGTTACTTGGTCATCAACCTGCACGTCCCTAATTTCAGGTTTATGTATATGACTATTTGCTTCTTTTATCAGATGTCCTGAAGGCAGACTGGAGCAGGAATGCCTCGCTTTTGGAGAAGATGATATACTATCCTCAGGATTCATCTGTGTGCCGACATCTCTCTTTATGATTGGACTGGAAATCATGGAAGTTGCTTCTACCTGGCCTTGAAGTTTATCATCTGTGCTCAGGGTGGAAAGATATTAAGATTGGTTTTTGTCAAAAGAAAACTGATCAATGCATAACCCATAGTGAGTAAAATGGCAAAACATTCTATTTTAATTCTGAACCTTTTCCTGCTCGTTCAAGGCAAGTAAGACAGAAATAACATATCTGTTGTATGGTTGTGTGCTTATACCCTACCACTTATAATATCCCTTTTTTAGAAACCCAAAACCTAGTATATGAACAGAATGGTTTCTTAAAAAGACAATCGAAGGAATATTTCAGACTTTTTAGGTTACAGTAAGCAGTGTCTTAAAAATCACTAGATCACTTAGGCAGTGGGGTGGGCTGATTCATAAAGCAGTGACCATAAGCAACTCTATTAGTTTCATAGGCACAACTGAGACAGCCAATGTCAAAACAGCAGATGATATTATGAAACAGATAATGCAAGATGATGACTTGGTAAAATAGTTAATGGAACCAGATAAAATGCAAAGTAGCAAAACTTTACATAGTTAAGTCTGTTGTTGTCAAGGGCGTCGATGCCCAAGACAGCGGGTCCTCGGCTACGGAGCTCGTAGCCTTGACTGGTAATGGCGTCGGGGTTGTTGCCCGGCTGCCCAATGGTGAAGGAGGTGAGATTAGGAAGAAGAGAGGGGATTAGGATTGGTAATTCTTGCTTAATCCAAAGAGTGCCGATTACATGGATTATATAGGCCCGTGGCCTGCTAATAAAAAGGAAACAAACTCCTTTATTCTAGCAATATCTGATTAGCTCCTTTATTCTAGCAATATTTGATTGTCAATCTGCATGTATGCATGCCTAAGTCTGCTCCTGAATGTGTGGCCAGCGTCGGTACTGGACGCCCCACATGACATCTCTCCCCCCCTCGACGAGCAGCTCGTCCTCGAGCGGGAATGTGGGGTAGCGGGCAACGAAGCTGTTGAGGTCTTCCCACGATGCTGATGAAGCGGGTTCGCCCTTCCAGTGAACGAGCAGCTGGCGAACGCCACGGTTAAGGCGAGCGCGCGTGACGCGGTCGGGCTCCGGGACCGCCGCTCCGTGGTGGATCGATGGTAGGGCCGGTGGCAACGTCGGGGGCGTGCCGACGAACTTCTTCAGGAGGCCGACGTGGAAGACGTCGTGAAGGCGGGCGCGATCCGGCAGCTCCAGGCGGTAGGTGACGTCGTTGATGACGGCGGCGACGCGGTACGGCCCGTAGAAGCGGTGTTTAAGTTTGCCCGTGATCGGAGCTTGGAGGGACGCTGCTGCACGCTGCCGGAGGCGGAGCCAGACCCAGTCGGCCACGGTGTAGTGGACCTCCCTGTGGTGCTTGTCGTAGTAGGCCTTGTACACCGCTTGAGCCTGCTGAAGCCGGTAGCGGACGTCGGCGAGCAGCTCGTCACATTCGGCCATGGACTTGGCCACGGCTGCAACCCTGGTGTCACCGGGCTCGTAGGAACGGATCGTGGGCGGGTCACGGCCGTAGACGATCTTGAAGGGCGTGTCCTTGAGCGCCGTCTGGAACGCCGTGTTGTAGATGAACTCTGCCCATGGGAGCCAACGTACCCATTGCCGAGGATGATCACCGGTGAGGCAACGGAGGTAGGTACATGACGATGATCTTGTTCGCGCCCTCTCTGTCGTCTGGCGTCGATTGCGGGTGGAACGCCGACGCGTCATGTGGAGCTTGGTGCCCGTGAGCCGCATGAGTTCGCGCGCTGAATGCCGACGTGAAGATGGGATCTCGGTGGGAGACCATAGATCGCGAACGCCATGGAGGCGTACAATCTCTGCGAAGAATGCCCGCCACCGACTCCGCCGTGTCTGGTGCGCGAGGGGATGAAGTGGCGATGGCTGAAGCGGTCCACCACCGTTAGGATGATGACTTGCCGCCCATCGCGCGGCGCTTCGATGAAGTCGAGGCCGATATCGATCCGCACCGCCCGTCGGAACGGCAATGATGAAGGAGACCAGCGAAGTGCAGTGTGCTCGGACTTGTACCGGCGGCGGTGGCGCAGGCGCGGATGTGATCTTGCACCGTCTTGCGAAGGTTGGGCGAGTGTAAGTCCCGGCGGAGGCGATGGAGCGTGCGCTGAACACCCTCGTGTCCGTCGTCGTGGACGGCGGTGAGCACCTCGTGGAGCAGTGGCGATTCCGGCGGAATGTAGAGGCGGCCGTTGAATGCAACGAGGCCGTCGAGGAGCGACCAGGGAGCCGCGCGTGTACCTGCCGCTAGCTCGTCCCTGAGCGCCACCAGAGCCGGATCGGTGGACGTAGCTTGTCGGAGGCGGTCGATGTAGTCGAAGCGGGGGCCCGAGATAGCCATGGCCACGGCCTCCTCCGTGTCGCGGCGAGAAAGGGGCGTCCGCGACTGTGTTCGTGTTCCCCGCCTTGTACTTGACGGAGAAGTCGAAGCCGAGGAGCTTGCCCACCCAGTGGTGCTGTGGAATGGTGGCCAAGCGCTGATCCAAGAGAAACTTGAGACTGAAATGGTCAGTCCTTACCACGAAACGGCGTCCCCACAAGTATGGCCTCCAATGGCGGATGGCGAGGACGAGGCCAATGAGTTCATGTTCGTATGCCGCCAAGGACGCATGGCGTGGCGCGGTCAGCCTGCCTTGAAAACGCCAAATGGTGTCTTTGATCTGAGAGCAGCACAACAACGACCAGAATCGACGCTGGCCGCGTCGCGGACAACAAGGCGCGTTGAAGTCGGGCGAGCGAGAAACGGCGCCGCCGTCACGGGTTGTCTTGAGGGCGGCGAAAGCCACAAAGCAGCTTCCGGTCCAGAGAACCCTTCCTTGCGGAGGAGGGTCGCGTGGGGCGGCAATCGTGTCAATTTCACGACAAACTTGCGGTAGTACCCCGCCAGGCCGAGGAAGCCCCGGACCGCCTGCCGCCGAAAGCGAGGTTGCGCTGCGATCGACCATCGCTTGGACCTTGGCGGGATCCATGGCGACACCGCGGCGGAGATGATGTGGCCGAGGTAGGAGATCGATTCGACCCGAAACGCGCGCGCACTTCGATCGCTTTGACGAAGAGCCTTGTCTTTGGAAGCGTCTTGAGGAGGACGGCGCGCGACGCGGCGAAGATGATCGCCCATGACTCGTTGTAGATGAGGATATCGTCGAAGAAGACGAGGACGGCGGCGGAGAAAAAGCGCAGGACGTCGTGCATGCATGGCGCGCTGAACGTTGCTTGCGCGCGTTGCGAGAGGCCAACGGCATGACGAGGAATTCGTGAGCCCGTCGTGGGTGCGGAAGGCGGTCTTGGCGGCGTCGTCGTCGCAGCGCATCCGAACTCGTGGTAACCGAGCGCAGTCAAGCTTGGTGAAGCGGGCGTGGCGGCTCGTCCGATGAGTTCGTCGACCACCGGAATCGAAAACGCGCCCTTGATCGTGATGGCGTTCGAGGCACAATAGTCCACGCAGAATCGCCAGAGCCATCGGCCTTCCGGACCAAGAGGACCGGCGGCGAAAACGCCGAGGAATCGCGCGAATGATGCCTGGGCCATCATCGCGGCGCATTGGCTCTCAATTCATCCTTGTCGCGCGGCGGGTAATCTGCAGACGGCCGGACAGACCACCGGGCGATCCGGCGAAGGTTGATGCGATGGTCGCGGCCGCGTCACGGGAGGCATCTTGGAGGGCTCAGCGAAGACGAGGCAAACTCCTCGAGGATGGCGGTGAGGAGATCGGCGCCGATGCAGGCCTGGATCGCCGAGCCAGTGGGAGCCGCCGTGCCGCACCAGCGCATCCGTCGGTGTCGTCCTCGGCCGCCGCCAAGTCGAGGAGGAAGATGCGTTAGCGACGCGGTTGTGGCCTCGCCAAATTTCTCGTTGCGGCTTGAAGCGAGGGCCTAGCGGCGGCGCTCCTCCATCTCTCGCTGCGACAGACGCTTGACTGGCGGCGGCCTCGACGGTGATCGGCCGGGATACCGGCGCGCGCTGCGCCGTGTTAAGCGCCGAAGCGCCAGACGGGTGGTGGCGCCGGTAGAGGCCCTTCCGGTGATCACGCCTGGCCGTGGTGGTGGCCTGCCGCCATGCAAGACACCTTGCTCATGAGCTCCAACTTGGGGCGAGGCTCATGGCGACGGCGAGGGATCGAGGGTTGTGTACCTCGGCGTCGAGGCTAAGCGGCGGCTGGAGGCCCCCGGTGAAGAGCTGGACGCGCTGTTCCTCATCGAGGCGCCCGGCACGAGGGAGGAGCGCTTGAAAACATTCCTGGTACTCCTCGACAGTGCATGTGCGCTTGCACGAGGCCAACTCGTGGAGGGGATTGGAGCGCAGCGGTGGTCCGTAGCGGAGATGGAGAAGATCCTTGAAGCGGCGCCATGAGGGGATGCCCTCGTCTGCCTGGACCTGGATGTACCACAGTTGGGCGCCCTCCTCCAAGTTGTAGGAAGCCATCCACACTTTCTCTTCCTCCATGATCCTTTGCTGGTGGAAGTAGGATTCGCACCGGTTGATGAAGATCAGCGGGTCGGACTTGCCGTCATAGCGCGGGAAGTCGAGCTTTTGGAAACGCGGCAGCCGATCTTGGTTGTGCTCCCCCGACCCAGAGTGTGCGGAGGATGACGAGCCGCCCGGCGGTGGGCGCGTGGCGTCCAGGCGCTGAATTGCCTGGGCGTTGGCCTCCACGGACGTCTGGAGCGTCCTGATGGACGCGACCAGGGAGTCCAAGGTCGCCTGCAAGGCAGCGTTGTTGGCGTGGTTCACAGTGTTGTCGCCCATGGCGTGTACGCGGCGTGGGGTGGGCGGCGCAGAGGAAGGGTGGGACAACGGTGGCGGCGATGGTGGGCGGCTGGGTGAGGAATTCCTGGATCGTGATACCAGGTTGTCAAGGGCGTCGATGCCCAAGGCAGCGGGTCCTCGGCTACGGAGCTCGTAGCCTCGACTGGTAATGGCGTCGGGGTTGTTGCCCGGCTACCCAATGGTGAAGGAGGTGAGATTAGGAAGAAGAGAGGGGATTAGGATTGGTAATTCTTGCTTAATCCAAAGAGTGCCGATTACATGGATTATATAGGCCCGTGGCCTGCTAATAAAAAGGAAACAAACTCCTTTATTCTAGCAATATCTGATTAGCTCCTTTATTCTAGCAATATTTGATTGTCAATCTGCATGTATGCATGCCTAAGTCTGCTCCTGAATGCGTGGCCGGCGTCGGTACTGGACGCCCCACATGACAGTTGTGGTACTATCTTGTCCATTTTATGGGCAGAAAATCCTTAACTCAGGAAAATAAAAGGACTTTAAAGCAAGGTTCTTAAGGGGGGAAAGGCAAGATGTGGTGAGCCACCCCCTTCCAATTGCCTAGGCGACACCTAGGCAGTGATAAGGCGAGGAAGGGCGACGCCATACCAATATAACAAGTTGCAAAACAACAGCATGGAGTGGAAAAAGGAAAGGAAAAAAAGAAAAAAAAAGGAGTAATAAGGGCTGGGCAAGCCCACCAGCCAGACCATGTACCCCTCCTCTTGCATGACCTACAAGGATACATCTACGGGGGACCCCGATTCCCAACACCGCCACTCGCCCTCATGCCTCACATGAGTACTCCCTGACTCGGCGCCGCAACTCACCCTTGCTCCTCACGTGACTACTCCCTGACTAGGCGCCGCTTGCTTCTCTCAATCTCCAGATTCACCACTGCCACCCAAAATTTCTCGCTCTCACTTCTTTTCCCTTCCTCACGGTTCTATGCCCTCAGATCAATCACTGCTGCAGTCCCCTTCCAGATCGGATATGTCGTGGCTGACCAAAGCAAGTGCTGCACCGGCAGCGGGCTCCAGAGTCAGCAGGGATGGCAGCAGCATCAGTTTCTTGGTTTCCCTGCCCACTCCCCTCCCATTCTTCCTCTGTTTTCCCTCCCTCCCTCTCTTTTGCGGACTTTTGACCATGGCGACGGGACGCCCAGATTTCCAGGCCTTATCACTTAGGCGACGCCTTAATAACCGCTTTAAAGTATAAACTGAAAGCAGCTGACCTTTCAACTGTCAAGTTTACACAAGTGAATTGGCCTATCCAAATGAACAGTTCCAGCCACAATATGAAACTAAAACATATGTAAAGCCATAAAAAGCAACTTTATGAGTAGCCAAATCTAAATTAAGCATGCTCAATTGCTTGGCAAATACATGTAATGGACTAGAACGAGCAAACAGCAAAAGTGGCAGAAATCAAGAAAAAGGAACTTATACATGCAAGGAAATGCTTAACTAACAGGAAAAGGCTAAACCAAACCTTGTACGGTTTCTTCCGAGATATTAGCAAAAGCAGATGCCTCCATAAGTGTTTCTGTCCACGCATGTATGCTTGCAGAACTTAATATATATGGCTCCTTCTCGGCAGAGTAGGATCTGCTGCTACCGTCATCACCACATCTGCCTCTTCCGCTGCTGAAGTCGCCAATGCGCCCGTGCTCTGGTATGAGAACCCCAGCAGAGAAAGGTGAATGCGCTGCGAAATTAGCTGCTGCCAGCACACCATCAAAGCAAGGAACAAGCGGTGAAACAGACGCATAAGCCCCCGGAATGCCAGCTGGGTGGCCAAGTGGCCCGCTCTTCGACTTGGGCCGTCTATGATGCGGAGCGGGTGCAGACATCCTTCCCATTCCATCACAGGAAACCGGACTTAGGATCCACTTCTCTGCATCCTCCCATTTCGATGGCAGCTTCCTCCCATTGTTAAATGGAAGCACAACCCCACTGCCCCCATACCTTCTATTGCTACCAGTGCCCAGTGGCACGCGCTCTGAACTCCAGCCCTTGGAGTACTGCATGCTGCCTGCACAATGGCGGTTGTAGTTCGGAGTCCCAGGGCTTGGGAACGTGCCTGTGCCTGTGCCTGATCTGCTCCGGGATGATGTCGTTGAGCTCTTGCTCATTCCTCCCTGGTTACCCCCAATCAAGCACCTCGGTGAGAGCACTAGCAGCTCAATACCTCCGGCACTGTTGAGCTCATGCGAGGCCGGCGGCCGCACCAGTGCAGACCTCTCTGACTTAAGCCGCCGCTGCTTCTGGCACTCTACCAAACAAACAGATTCCACCATCAATAAGCAATAACTTTTACCAGTTCCCTCAACACAACCAACATTCATTTATTTCTAGTAAACGAGATTACCTCTTAATGAGTAGGAGAACGAATCATTTGTTGCTTCTGCCACTTCCTCCGATTCAGCCGAGCTCGCGGCGTTTCCCCCCTCGTCCTCGTCTGCGCGAGAAAGCTATCAGAACGCATGGCGACAAAAATGAGGCAACATAGGAGCACTGGCATTTCAGCGTGGTGAACGCCACGAACCTGGCGCAACCGTGCCCCGCGAGGCGAAGCCGCTGCCGCCGCTGGGAAAGGGCAGCAGCGCGGAGGAGTGCGCCGGATCTGGATCGGCCGCGCCGCGTGGTCCCGGTCCCACCGGCTGCAGAGAGCGCCAACGGTAGAGGTGTCACGTCACCGCACGGCAGGCAGCAAAGACGGATTGAAACGCTAGCGCGCGGCCGCGGCGGCTTACGGGACGGTGCCGCCCGCGCCACGACGAGCGGAGCGCGCGCGATCCGTCGGCCACCGAAACGACCAAAAGAGCAATGATAGTAAAGCGACGAAGCGAGTGCGGCCGGGGAGCAGCAGCAGCTCCGCTTTCGCTTCGTTCAAACCCGCTCGGCTTTTTCTTAGGCTTTATGCTTTGCTTAGCCGGAGGGTTTCGATGCCATCGCCAACCTCGGATCCCATGTGGGTTAGTAGCGGTAGTAGTACAAGACAAGCGCGCGTTTGGAATTTGGATTTGGATCTATTGACTTCTACTGCGGCCTCATTCATTAGTTAAGTAATTGATCGAGACGCGCCATGCCGAGAGCATGTGGAGGTTAAGCGGTGAGAACAGAAAAGGGAAGAGAGAGACTGAGAGAGAGAGAGAGAGAGAGAGATTTTACTGCGGCACCGGGCGGTCGCCTCCGCCTCGTCGGCGGCTGCTTCTTGCGGCGGCGCTCGGGCGGCGGTTTGGACGAGCGGACGGGGCCGGCGGCGGCGGCGGGGAACCCTAGCGCGGGCTCCGGGCGGGGCATGCTCTGGCGCGCGGTCGCATTCTCCGGGGAAGGAGACGCCAGTTGGGGGGAGCAGGGCAGTGTGGACTGTGGAGCGGGATGAGGGGGTTTGCGGCAGAGCGCGATTAAAAATGGCGCGTGGACGGATTTCGCCTTGGGCCTCGGTCCCCCTCTACATTCCCTCGCAAGCTTGGCTCTGTGTTCGCCGTACGCAGCCGAGCCATGCCTGTGTAAACTTTTGCCCGCGGGGCGCGACGGTTAAACGAGGCTTGGTAGTGAACGCAGCACGAGAAGTCAAGCTTGCGTGGCGTGGGCGCTGCCGGTGTCGGCCGGCCTCAGGCTCGCGTGCACTCGGCCCCAAAGGCCAAAGCCCGCACCGGAGCCATGCCCCCGACGCCGCACCGGACCGGAGTGGCAAATTATACAGCAGAAATTGCCCATCGCATTTGCCCGTCAGGGTGTTCGGCTGCCGACGAGTGCGGCAAAGTTTCAACCGGGTCAGGGCGTCACTGCGTCAGGTGCGGCTTTGGCTCGCGACACAGGGGCCCTCGCCTTCCCCGCTGCGACGCCCGTCCTGGGGGCTGGGGCCCGTCTGATGCGCGAACTCGTGGATACGACCCGTTTGTCAGCGCTGCTGTTCATGGCACAGGTGGGCGGTGGGCCGCGGGTCCCCGGCGGCGTCGGAGGAGTTTTTTGACTTGGCGCGAATCTTTTTTGTCGGAGCCTCGGAGGGACAGGGAGGCAGGGAGCGGGATGCCCACGCGTGCCGGCACCTCGCCTACGCTGGCACCCAGTGTCAGTGACTTCACTGGCCAGCACATGATCGATGCCTGTATCCGAACCCGTTCGTCATGCTCCCACGGGACGATGTGAGCTGGGATGAGCGCTGCACCAGCAGCACCGGCACCGGCCGGCACGGGGGCCACGGGCTGCAGTGCTACTGCTAGTACAGTACAATGAGATGCCGGGCGGGTCCGGCGAGACTACAGTTTTTTTTTTTGTCCGCGTGCTTCGAGTTCGAGGTGCCATGCCAGTGCCGTGCTCGCCAGGCAGAGGCAGGTGCGGTGCCGCAGTCGCGTGCTGCCTGCAATGCGCTGCGCTGTGCGGCGTCATCTTTCGTCCGGTTCGCTTCGTTGAAATTTAGCTCATGTTGTAGATTATGCTGATTTGTTGTGAGAGAAAAATATTTTTTATTTGTTAAAAAGTATCGCTGAAGAATGGAGCGATGATAGGTTTTTAAAGGACGCGGAATGACAGAAGGTGGTGGCAAACAGCCGAGTCTAGACAACTGTGCGATCATTGCCCCGTATGGTCCTCGTTCCTTTCAGAGCGACACGGAAAAGAGCAGTATGAGCTCTGCAGCATGTATCAGCGTGCGGTGCGGTGATGCTTTTAAGAACAGAAGTCGCGTAGGCGTAGCAATGCGGTTACCATCACTACCAGACAAGCACCGGGGCCAGCGTGCGTAGTGCTTCATTACTGTAATGTCATGTCTGTATGACTATATGGTCTACGTGGGCCTGGTTTAGATCACCTCTAAATTCTAAGTTTTTTTATTCTCTCTTCGTCACATTAATTATTGGATGTATGTATGGAGCATTAAATGTAGGTAAAAAAAATAATTAATTATACAGTTTAGTTGTAAATCACGAGATGGATCTTTTGAGCCTAGTTAGTCCATGATCAGACAAAATTTGTCAAATACAAATGAAACGTGCTACAGTGTTCAGGTTGCAAAAATTTGCAATCTAAACAAGGCCGTATATAGGAAGCGAGTACAGTGCACTCGCGCATTGGCACATTTCTTCCAGTAACGCGCACTCTTATAAATTTAGCAGCTCTGCTCGGCGGTTCTAACTTGTACGAGTTCTCTTTTCCTGTCAATTGTCATGATGGATTAATGACGGATGGGCTGGAATGTGATTTGACTGAGAGCCTGAGAGTGAGAGGCTACTAATCACATATGGCCCCGTTAGGTACACACAAGATAAGGGCGGAGTCTTCTCGGCGTAGTGTAAGTGCCCCGGCGAGTAGCGCCGGTCGGCGAGGAAGAAGAACAGGGAAACTAAGCTACCCTACCACGAATGATTAACTTGGAAAGTAAGAAAGGAATACAGAGTTCTGTTTTCTCTTGATGCCTCTCGCTCTCTCAAACTGATTACATATAGATGGGCACTAGGCTTGTGTCTTGGGCTGGGTCACGCACACATTGCAGTCCCAGACTGGGCCAGAAACTCTTGTGCTTCTGGTACGGGCGCGCTTGCTCTTCTTTGGGCTGCCTTCTGTTGCCAGGGTGAGGGGCAGTATTTGAGACCGAATCCATTTAGAGAGGCTGAGATCTGTCCGTATCCGAGTTTAGATATTCAACATCCGATACCGTATCCGTATCCGAATACTCAAATCGCATATTTATGATGTCGATATTCAATCGTATCCTATCCGGCATAGTTGACACTATCCATATTCGAATCCGAATCCGGACAGAAATATAAAAACAAATATAGTGATATCCGTCCGTATCCGATCCGTTTTCATCCCTACCCTTAGGACACGGCGTGTCCCCACGTCGCCGCACGCGGGAAGCGTTGGTGAAGAGTTTCGGCATCTTCCCAGGTGGCAAGGTCAGCACCCAAACCGGACCACTTGATCAAGACTTGAGGCACGGAGCCATTCTTGCGAGGGTGCAGGCGCCGTTGTAGGATAGCTTCAGGGACTTGCAACTCATCATCAGGATCAGGGAGCTGGGAAGACTCCTGGTACTTATCTGATGGGGCCGGCTTCAGGAGAGACACACGAAACACCGGGTGTATGGTTGAAGTCGGTAGAAGCTCCAGCTTGTATGCCACCGACCCAATCTTGGCGATGATCTTGAAGGGCCCAAAGTACTTGAAAGAAAGCTTCTGGTGCGCGCGAGGAGCGAGCGAAGACTGGACATACAGTCCTCACGAGTCGCCCATAGCAAACGTGCGCTCGGAGCGACACTTGTCGTCCTGATGCTTCATCCGTTGTTGAGCTCGAAGAAGGTGTTGGGGCACCCAAGCAAGCATACTTGTGCGCTCAGTCAGCATGGTCTCAACATCCGGCACCGAGGAAATAGAGGCAGGTGACAGGCCGAAGTGGCAAGCTGGGTGTCCGTACAGTACCTCAAATGGCGAACGCTGAGTAGAAGAATGCTTGCTGGTGTTGTACCAGAACTCCGCGAGCGGCTCCAGCGGCGCGGACATGAGTGGACGAAGCAGCAGAGGAACGTCTCGAGGCACTGATTCACCCGCTCAGTCTGGCCATCAGACTGAGGGTGATACGTCGAGCTCATGCATAGAGTAGTATGAGCAAGGCGGAAAAGCTCACGCGCAAAAGGTGTTGGTGAAGATCCGATCCTGGTCGGAGATGATATGGGTCGGCATCCCGTGGAGGCAATAGACGTGGTCGAGGAACAACTGAGCTACCTGCTGAGCTGAGATGGGTGAAGCAAGGGTATGAAATGAGCGTACTTACTGAACTTGTCAACAATGACCAAGATGTAGTTAGCGGATGCTGAACGGGGAAGGCCCTCAACGAAGTCCATAGATATGACTTGCCAAGATTCAGATGGCACCGGAAGAGGAGACAGCAATCCAGGGTAAGCAGCCCTATCCGGCTTGGACTGAACACATGTAGCACAAGAGCTGACGAAGTCCTTTGCATCCTTTTTCATACCCTTCCAAGCGAAAAGCTTCTTAAGCTTGCTGTACGTAACAGGAAAGCCAGAGTGTCCTCCCACCGCAGAACTGTGAAGCGCATGCAGAATGCGGAGCTGGAGGTTCTTGTTGTCCCCAGTCCAGACACGGTTATGGTACCGAAGTATGCCATTCTGCAGGGAGTAAGGAGGGTGACTATCAGGATCCACTGCGAGCTCTTGGAGTAACTTGACTGTCGCTGCATCTTCAGAATAACCAGCAGCTACATCAGCCAGCCAGTTGGCGTGGAATATGAGATTGCACAGAGCTGAAGTGGAGGAGATGGGTGCCGGGATAACGCATCAGCAGCTTGATTAGTTGAACCCGGCTTGTATACAATTATGTATTGAAGACCAGTGAGCTTTGTATACATTTTCAACTGCTAAGGAGTGTGGAGCCGCTGCTCGGTAAGATGCATTAAGCTTCGATGGTCAGAAAAGATGGTGAATTCCCCATGCTGCAGATATGGTAGCCACTGCTCGACGGCTACCAAAATGGCCAAGTACTCTTTTTCGTAGGCTGACAAGCCTCGAGTACGAGGGCCCAATGCCTTGCTGACAAAGGCCAAAGGATGACCCTGCTGGAGAAGCACCGCGCCCACTCCGCGATCACTGGCATCTGTCTGAATCTGGAATGGGAGGCTAAAATCGGGCAGAGCCAGGACCGGGGCAGAAATCAAGGCAGACTTCAGAGCTTGAAAGGCAGACTGATGGGCCTCTGTCCAAACAAATAACTGTCCCTTCCGAAGCAAATCATGTAAAGGTCGAGCAATAATGGAAAAGTTGCGAACAAACTTGCGGTAGTAGGCCGCGAGACCCAGGAAACTACGCAACTCTTTAACATCAGCTGGTTGCGGGCACTGGTGAACAACTTTGACCTTGGTTGGGTCAGTACCAACTCCCTTTGCACTGATAACGTGTCCCAGGTACGAAATAGACTCTTGAGCGAATCGACACTTAGATAGCTTAACTAGCCATTGATCCTGGGCGAGCAGCTCAAAAACCTGCTGGAGGTGCTGAAGATGTTCCTCGAAGGAAGAGCTGTAAAACAGTATATCGTCGAAAAAGATAATGATGCACTTCCGGAGCAGTGGCTTGAGGGTCTTGTTCATAGCACCTTGAAAAATGTTGGGAGCTCCAGTCAGGCCGAAGGACATGACAGTATACTCAAACTGTCCCCAATGGGTTTGAAATGCTATTTTGAATTCTTCACCGGGTGCCAGGCGGATCTGATTGAAGCCAGCGCGCAAATCCAGAGAGGAAAACCACCTGGCTGAGGATAATTCATCGAGCAACTCATCGATAACAGGTATGGGAAACTTGCTTTTGACTGTTAAGGCGTTGAGCATCCGATAATCAACACACATGCGCCAGGAACGATCTTTCTTCCTTACGAGCAGCACCGGAGATGAGAAAGGACTAGTGCTGGGCCTGATGAACCCTGACTGCAGCAACTCAGAAACCCGCTTTTCAATTTCCGACTTCAGAGCAGGAGAATAACGATATTGGCGGACCGAGATCGGTTGAGCTCCGGGCACGAGGGGGATAGCATGATCACAGTCACGCTGAGGTGGCAGACCAGTCGGTTCAGCAAATAAGTGAGGGAACTGGTCCAGAAGTGATTGCACACTTGGTGGAATAACTGACGGTGGCTGACCCGAATCATCAGAAGCTATATGATATAACTGAATGACAGAGCAATCAGAAGAGTCAGCCTGAACACCATGCAATACCACCGATGATCGGCCATAAGTAATCTGCATCCACTTTTGTTGCTAGTGTATCTTCATGGGAGGAAATGCTGCCAACCAATCCATGCCTAATATCAGATCGAAGGAGCCAAGGGGCAATATCTTCAGGGCTGAGTGAAAACTGAGGCCATTGGTAGACCATTCAACTGAAGGAAATGCAGAAGAACAGACCAAAATACTACCATCAGCGACCCGGAAACTCACAGGTGTGGACAACTACTGAACACCCTGAAGCTTAACTGCCACTGAAGAATTGATGAAAGAATGAGAACTTCCAGAGTCCACCAAAATAAGAACTGGCCGGCCACCAATAAGATCTTGCAACTGCAGAGTCTGAGTAGTAGAGGTAGCCAACAGAGCTGCAATGGAAAGCATCAAGCAAAGCTGGTGTGGCTGACAGACCTCCTCGGTACATTCAACAACTGCAGGAGCCTCTTCTTTAACAAAATCAGATTCACATAGATTCCAAACCTCTTGGAGAGCTTGGAGCTGCATTTGCGGAGCACAACGATGGCCGGGAAACCACTTCTCGCCACAACGCATACAAAGCCCCTGCGCCTTCCTGTAAGCTCAAATAGTTGAAAGCTTCTCATCAACTATAGGTCCTCGCTGCACGGGACGCTGATCATCAACAGCAGGACGACGCTCATCTGGCACAGCAGCCGGCTTGGGAGGCGGGGGAGGAAGAGGTAGGCCACCACGAAACTGCAACGGCTTGGAGTAAGCACCAGCTTCTAGCTTCTTAAACTCCTTGGGGCGCGGGGGTCCCTGAGCCTCCTCTTGCAATAATGCGAGCGTGCAAGCAGTATCCAAGTCGCAAGGTCGTTGCATCAAAACAACAGCACGAATAGAATCTTGAAGCCCATCCACAAAGCGGGTAGTGAGGTAACGCTGGTCAGGCTTAGGATTGTAAGCTGACAGCTGCTCAACAAGAGCGACATAGCGGTCGACATAGTCGGCGACAATGGAAGTTTGCTTGATGTGGAAATGTTGACGCAGTAGGGATTCATGCTGGTCACGGTTGAAACGTTCGAGGATCATAGAGGTGAAGGATTCCTAAGAGATGTTCGTGAGCTGAGGCTCAACTGACTGTAGCCAGCGAGCAGCTGAATCAGTGAAATGGTGGGTAGAGATGCGAAGCCACATGGAAGGATGAACAGAGTACATTTAGAATTGTTGGAGTTGTTCCAAATTCACTCCAGGATATAGACCGGGCTTCTGACGGAGCAGAGCGGAGGCCCGTCGCCGGAGGCTTGGGCCTACACCCTTGCTAGGGTTTCGTGGAGACTATATTCTCTTGTAAGCCGCCATAGTCGTGTAACCCAAAACTCTTGAGATAGTAAGATTGTTGCTGTCTGGTGCCCGTGGTTTTTCCCCTTCACATCGGAGGGGTTTTCCATGTTAAATCGTGTGTCTACTCTGTGGCTTGATTCTTTACTTTATATTTCTATACGTCGTTCATAACAAGTGGTATCAGAGATTTGGTTGCTGTTAGGGTTCATGACGACGTCGATGAAGTTCGATCTTCCGCTGCTGAACTACGACACGCGGTTCTCGCTATGGCAAGTCAAGATGCGGGGGATTCTGGCGCAGACTCATGACTATGATGAGGCGCTGGATAGTTTCAGAAAGAGAAAGGCTGAGTGGACTCCAGAAGAGATCCGCAAGGATCGAAGCGCTTCGCCTAATTGATTGCATCTTCATAATGATATTTTGCGGAGTGTCTCGAAAGAAAAAAAACTGCTAGAGAACTATGGTTTGAAATCGGAATCGATCTGTATGTCCAAGGATCTAACCAGTAAGATGCAGATGAAGATGAAGCTGTTCACCCTAAAGATGAAGGAGGAGGATTCAGTGATGAGCCACATCGCTGAATTCAAGAAGATCGTCGCCGACCTAGTGTCGATGGAGGTGAAGTATGATGATGAGGACTTAGGTCTTTTACTGCTATGTTCTTTGCCAAATTCGTATGCAAATTTTCGTGACACCATACTTTTGAGCCGTGATGAACTAACCCTAAAGGAAGTTTATGAGGCTCTCCCGTCTAGGGAGAAGATGAGAGGCATGGTACAGAATGACGAGATGTCGTCCTCCAAGGGCGATGCTTTGCATGTGAGAGGCAGAACTAAAAACAGATCCTCCAATGATGGCAATGATGGAAGAAAGAACTACAAAAGGAGAGGCCGTTCAAAGTCCAAGCCACATGGTAATAAAAAGTTACGTGTTTATTGCAAGCTGACAAATCATAATGTTGAGGATTGCGAAAAAATGCAGAATAAGGAGAAGAGGAAAAACAAGTCACCGGTGGTAAGGTCTCTGTTCTCATTGCTGCTGCTTCGTCGATGATGATTCTGGAGATTGTCCGTAGTATTTGCTTTGGTTGTGTTGCTTGGTCATGATGAATGGATTCTCGATTCTCGCATGTTCATTTCATATTTGCACTAACGTAAATTGGTTTAGCTCGTATAAGCTTTGTCGCGCGAAAAGGGGATGTTGTGCGGATGGGAGATGATAACCCGTGTGACATTGTGGGGATTGGATCGGTTTAGATCAAGATCGATGATGGCATGACACGCATCTTGAAAAACGTCGGTATATACCGGGGATGTCCGTAAATCTTATCTCATTGAGCACGCTTGATGCGAAGGTTACAAATATTCCGGTTCGGATGGCGTTACGAAGGTATCAAAAGGTTCTCTTGTTTGCTTGAAAGGTGATCTTAATTACGCAAAGTTATATGTCCTTAGAGGGTGTACTTTACCGTTCTCGATTCATCATTCTTCTTTGTTACTAATGATGAACCTAGTAAAACGAACCTTTGGCATATGCGTTTGGGACATATGAGTCACCATGGTATGGCGAAATTGATGAAGAGAAACTCACCGGATGGTCGCACTTGAGTAAAATAAAGTTTTGTGAGCATTGTATTTTCGGGAAGCATAAAAGGGTACATTTCAACACTTCTGTTCACACCACTAAAGGTACTCTTGATTATGTTCATGCTGATTTATGGGGCCCTTCCCGTAAGTCCTCACTTGGTGGTGCTCGTTACATGCTTACAATTATTGATGATTACTCTAGAAGGGTTTGGCCTTATTTTCTGAAACAGAAAAATGATACTTTTGCTGCTTTTAAGGACTAGAAAGTAATGATAGAAAGGCAAACTGAAAGGAAGGTAAAATTACTTCGTACTGATAATGGTGGAGAATTTTGTTCGCGTGAATTTAATGATTATTGCAGATCAGAAGGTATTGTTAGGCATCACACCATACCCCATACTCCACAACAGAATGGTGTGGCCGAACGCATGAACAAAACCATCATGTCCAAGGCCCGTTGCATGCTATCTAATGCCAGGATGAGCAAGCATTTTTGGGTTGAAGCTGTTAATACTGCCTGTTACTTGATAAACAGGTCGCCTTCTATTCCACTAAATAAAAGAACTCCCATTGAGGTATGGTCTGGTACGCCTGCTGATTATTCACAGTTAAAAGTTTTTGGATGCACTGCTTATGCTCATGTTGATAATGGAAAATTAGAGCCTAGAGTTGTTAAGTGTCTTTTCCTTGGTTATAGTTCGGGAGTCAAAGGCTATAAATTGTGGAATCCTGAAACAGGAAAGACTTTTATGAGCAGGAGTGTTGTTTTCAATGAATCTGTGATGTTTACTGACAGTTTGCCTCAGATCATGTTCCAGAAAAAGAGCTGCAGCGTATGCGCATGCAGGTGGAGCATGTTGATGATGATACAGGTGTGCAAGTGGAGCCTGTTGATGAGCATGGTGACCATGATAATGATGTTGCTGAGGATGATGCTCATGATGATGTTCAGCAAACTCCTCCTATTTTGCAGTTAGAGGAGGATTTACCTATTGCTCAACGCAAGTCAAAAAGGATAATTGCACCTCCTAAGCGTCTTATTGAAGAGTGTAATTTATCTTACTATGCTTTGAGTTGTGCTGAACAGGTGGAGAATGTTCATGAGCCAGCAACCTATAAAGAAGCTATTCGTTGTGGTGATACTGAGAATTGGATTTCTGCTATGCATGAGGAGATGCGGTCTCTTGAGAAGAACAGTACATGGGAGATTGTACCTTTACCTAAGAATAAGAAGACCATCAGCTGCAAATGGATCTTCAAGAGAAAGGAGGGTTTATCTCCAAGCGAGCCTCCAAAGTATAAGGCAAGGTTAGTTGCTAAAGGCTACAGTCAAATTCCGGGTGTTGACTACAATGATGTGTTCTCTCCAGTGGTAAAACACAGTTCAATTCGTACTTTCCTTAGTATTGTTGCTTCACATGATCTTGAGCTTGAGCAGTTAGATGTGAAGACTGCATTTTTGCATGGAGAGCTTGAGGAGGACATATACATGGACCAACCAGAAGGGTTCATAGTGCCTAGCAAGGAAAAATATGTGTGCAAGTTGAAGAGATCCTTGTATGGTTTGAAATAGTCCCCTCGTTAGTGGAACAAGAGGTTTGATTCATTTATGTTAGCACACAGTTTTAAAAGATCTAAGTATGATAGTTGTGTTTACATCAAGCATGTTAATGGATCACCTATATATTTGCTGTTATATGTTGATGATATGTTGATTGCTGCCAAGTGTAAGATTGAAATCACTAAGTTAAAGAAGCTATTGAGTAGTGGTTTTGATATGAAAGATCTTGGTAGTGCTAAAAAAATTCTTGGTATGGAAATTAGTAGAGACAGAAAATCTGGTTTGCTATTTCTTAGTCAACAAAATTATATCAAGAAAGTTCTTCAGCGTTTCAACATGCAAAATGCTAAGGCTGTTAGTACCCCTATTGCACCTCACTTTAAGTTGTCAGCTGCTCAGTGTCCTAGTACAGATGTAGAGATTGAATACATGTCAAGGGTTCCTTATTCTAGTGCTGTTGGGTCTTTGATGTATGCCATGGCTTGCTCTCGTCCAGATTTGTCATATGCTATGAGTCTTGTTAGTAGATATATGTCTAATCCTGGCAAAGAACATTGGAGGGCAGTTCAGTGGATTTTCAGGTACCTCAGAGGCACAGCAGATTCCTGTTTAAAGTTTGGAAGAACTGATAAGGGTCTTATTGGCTATGTGGATTCTGATTATGCTGCTGATCTAGACAGGCGAAGATCACTTACAAGTTATGTGTTTACTGATGGCAGTTGTGCTGTGAGTTGGAGGGCTACTTTACAGTCAGTTGTTGCTTTGTCTACTACTGAAGTAGAATATATGGCTATTTGTGAAGCGTGCAAAGAATTAATTTGGCTTAAAGGTTTGTACGCTGAGCTTTGTGGAGTTGAATCTTGCATAAGTTTGCACTGTGACAGTCAAAGTGCAATTTACCTCACTAAAGATCAGATGTTCCATGAGAGAACTAAGCACATAGATATCAAGTATCCTTTTTGTGCGTGATGTGATTGAAGAAGATAAGCTGAAGGTATGCAAGATTAGTACTCATGATAATCCTGCTGATATGATGACAAAGCCTGTTCCTGTTGCTAAGTTTGAGTTGTGCTCAAGCTTAGTTGGTTTAATTGGATAGTCCAAGAGACTATTAGTGGCACCAGTGGTTTTCTATCTTTGTTATGTTCAGAATGAAGGGTTGATTTATGATACAAGATGAATTTGTCTCAAGGTGGAGTTTGTTGAAGTTGTTCTAAATTCACTCTAGGATATAGGCCGGGCTCGCCCCTGTGCTGGGGGGGTGCGGGGGGCGGAGCCCCCCGCTGTACGGTACGGTATATACACCCTTGCTAGGGTTTCGTGGAGACTAGATTCTCTTGTAAGCCGCCATAGGTGTGTAACCCAAAACTCTTGAGATAGTGAGATTGTTGCTGGCTGGTGCCCATGGTTTTTCCCCTTCACATCGGAGGGGTTTTCCACGTTAAATCGTGTGTCTACTCTGTGGCTTGATTATTTACTTCATATTCCTATACGTCGTTCATAACAGAAATATGACTTGGCCCTAGTGATCCACAGTTGGGGGTTAGATCCATCGAACGTAGGGAAAATCATTTTGGGCAATTGGCCGAGCTGATGGGGAGGTGGATTGGAAGTATTGTAGAACGGAGGAACAGCGAAATTGTGGGGTGGATACGATGGAAAATGTGGATGAGGATAGGACTGATAATGAGGCTGTGGCGATGGGTAGAAATTGGGTTGCTGAATTGGGGAAAATTGAGTGGGGGATTAGGTGGGTAAGGGGACGGTGGATTTCGAATGAAATTAGGCTATGGGTTCGGGTGATGGGGAGCGGGTGGATTGGGGTGAGGATTTGACGGATGGGGTGGTGGTGGTGGATAAACTTGTGTAGAACCGACCGAAATAATACGTTTTTGGGGCGTTTGTCTTTCACTAAACACTAAGCATCCTGAAAGTTAGCTACATCGGACAGTTCCATCGAGCCCACCCAAGGGAGAACTCTAAACAATATACATTTTACCATCAGGATCTAATAATTAGTACGAGCTTACAATATTTAGTCTATTTCATACAATAAGAGTTCTTTAAAATTATTTATTACAATACCAGGGTTTAGAGTGCGATAATTAAAAATCGGAGTAAAAATAAACATCTAGCAAAAACGATACAAGGATCCGTCTGTGTCCACCAGAAGAATCCTCACACAAGAGCTACTCCTCAAACTGCACCTGCAACAGGGGTAAATAAACCATGAGTACACAATGTACTCGCAAGACTTACCCGACTAGTGAGATAGTTTCCCAACTCCAAGGGGTATGATAGGCAATCTGGGTTTGTTGTTTTCTTTTTATTTACGAAAAGCATTACTAGAAGTACGTCCTTAAGATCAAGTTTAATTAGCAGTCATGATTACTTCATTAACTAACCATTCTAGGTAAGTACATGTTCTACTTTTGAGCAAGGGTTGAGCAATGAGAACCATTTTACCATTTTTTATCTTCCAGTTCTTACTACGGTGCTAGACCATAGCCAAGTCATACTGTCTCGCGAAAACGATGATTCACGAACCAATATATCCCAGCTGGGTACCCCGAAACGCACGCCCCGTTTGTACCCCAGGCACAAACAAGACCAACCCATTCCACTCCTGTCACGGGGCCTAGGTCCCCGTCCAAACTTGGACTCCAAGCCGCCACTCTCGAGACCCGGTCTCAATATGGTGCTTAGACCTCCACCTTTTTCCTCCTACAATCAGTCGGTCTAGAAAGAGCCGGAACCCACGACAAGATCGTAACGAGCCTTCCCGCTCCCATAAGCAAGTATATGCTCAAGATAATAAGTCTGTGACCTGACCCATCCACAGCAACAGACTATCCTCGATCGAACCAAGCTAAGCCCCATGGCCGCGGGACACAACTCGTCACACCCACCGTAACCCATACCATATCCATGCCCGGTCTCTATTTTCCTTTCATCATTTTTATCATGAGAGTAATTATAATACTCACCTATTATGAGTAACGGCAGGTTACTCACGCTAGCGAAAACCTAAGCATAGCAGCTGCTCGAACCTACACTAGTAAGACTCATAGGATAGTTATATCTATGTAGGTGGTTTTCACAAAATTCATGTAACATAAATGCACATCACATATATATACGGTGATTATAAAAAATAAGGGTTATGCACGGGGGCTTGCCTTGGGCAGGCGCGATGTCAGCTGAGTTAGCTAGTGGCGGTTCTAGGACCTCCTCCTACACGAGAATCTCCTACTCGTACTCCTCGACGATCTCCTCGAATTCGTGATCGCCGGTGGTCCGCTGACTCGTTCTCTATATTCATGTGATGATGATGATGCAACAATTCAATATTTAGGCAACAACAACTCTTAAAATAAGAATACACATGTTAAGCTACTAATCTAATTCTAATGATTAAGGTACTAAGCTAACTACCATCTTCATCAAGCAAAGTGTTGGGTTCAACTAACAAACCCTTAGCTTGGCAATTTAAGGATATGTCTTTATTTCTACTAGTGATTTAATGTATATTAAAACAAAGAGTATTTAACTACCCTAAAGCTTGGTCTATTCTAAGGCTACAAAAATTACAGTGAACACATAATAATAGAATGAAACTGCTGTAAAAATTTCAGGATCAAAACTATCACCAATTTACCACAAAAATTCCTACAATAATTACCCTAATAATATTAAGCACTTTCAAATGATGTAATAGCCCTTAGTATCAACACAGATATGCATGATCTATCTATACTACCAGATAGATCACAATTTTAGGAACCTAACAAAATTAGTTTCACGATTTTTGGACACCTATACGATTTTATATTAATTAAACAAAACTGGCTCACAATTAAAAATAAAAAGCTATTTCTAATTCTTTACGAAAAGGAGGAAGCGAACTGGCCCAACGCGGGCGTGGCCCACGTGCGAAAGCGGCCCACGGTGGGGGAGCCCGCGCGCGCGCTGGCGTTTTTACAAAAGAGACCTCATACTTGCTCCGAACTACATCACTATCTTTTCACTATTTCTTTCTCTCTTTGACCTTTGCACTTAGCCCCCCTAGGTTTTTCTTAATTCTTCCGCACAAGCCCCTGAGGTAGGGCGAGCGGTGGTGTGGCGAGCATTGACACTGGTCGGCCACGTCGGCCATCTAGGGTTCGTGCGGACCTACCTAAAGGGTCGACCACCATCTATGACTTAAGTGCCTACACTAAGAGGCGGTGAGGGGCAGCTGGATGCACTGGAGCGGGTGGCAGCGGTGTGCGGCCATCCGCGGTGGCGGTGCAGTCGTCCCGGTGCACTAGGGAAACTATAGGCCTAACCAACTAACGGGTGAGCATCATGAGCTTACCATGGACCTGGTCGAGGTGATGGTTCAGCCGGAGACTACCTGAGTCAGGCTAGCCATGTGCGCGCGACGAGCTTAACAACGAGTCGCGGCAACACGGCTGCATCAGTGGCGCTGGGACAGTGGTAGAGGTACAGCTGACGAGCGTAGGATGAAGAGGGAGTCAAGGTAAGGCTAGTGGTGCAGCTAGTTGAGCACGAACGACTACTAGGAAGGGTTGCCACCACGCCTGTGGCAGAACCGATCGAAATAACATACTACGGAGGCACTCGTCTTCCACCAGACACTATGCGCTCCGAAAGTAAGCTACAGCGGGTAGTATCCGTCGGGCACACCCCAAGGGAGAACCCGAAAGATCCACATTTTTCTCCGAGGATCCAATAATGAGAATGAGTTACAATACTTATCCATTTCATACATCAGAAGTTTTTAAAAATTACATTATTACATTACCAAATGTTAGAGTGCGGAATAACAAACAGCGGAATTTAAAAATAATCATCTAGCGATAAGGAACGAGGATCCGTCTATGCCCACCAGAAGAATCCTCCACACAATGGTACGTCTCACGCATTACCTGCAACAGGGGTAAGTAAACCATGAGTACACAACGTACTCGCAAGACTTATCCGACTAGTGGGAATAATTTCCCGACTCCAAAGATTATGATAAGCTTTATAGTTTGCTGGTTTCTTTTTTGTAGAAAGCAATACTATAGTGAGTCCTTATTTATGTTATTAATAATAGCCGTATTAAGTTATTATCTAGCCATTCTATGTAAGCACCTGTTCTACTTTCAAGCAGGAGTTGAGCAATCAGTTCCATTTCATCACCTTCTATCTTCCAGTTCTTACTACGGTGCTAGACCCAAAACAAGCCGTACCAGATTGCCCGGTGATTCGCAAATCAATGCCCCCAGCTGGGTACCCCGAAAACACACACCCCGCTTGTACCCCAGGCACAAGCAGGACTAACCCATCACCCTCCAGCCGTGGGTGTCCGGGTCCCCGTCTAAACTTGGACTCCAAGCCCGTACTCCTGAGTTTCGGACACAGTGTGGTGCAAGGACCTCCACCATCCCCGCCTCCAATCAGTCAGTCCGAAAAGAGCCAGATTCCACGACAAGAGAGCAACGAGTCTTCCCTGCGCCCATACCCAAGTATGTGCTCGGGATAATAAATCTGTGACTTGCCTCGAGACTTATGCAACGGCCGGTCCTTAACCGACACAGATAGGGAAAAAGTGTAACCAAGCTATGCCCTATTGGCCACATGACACAACCTCTTATACCCACCAGTACCCAACCATATCCCTGCCAGGTCACCATTTTCCTTTCCACCATTTTATCATGAGTAATCATAATTATCACCTATTGTGAGTAACGACAGGTTACTCATATTACCGATACCCTTAGCATAGCAGCTAATCGACCTGTACTAGTAGAACTCATAGGTAAATATATTTATGTATGTAGTTTCCATAAAATGGCTGTAACATAAATGCACATCATATATATATATTCATTGATCATAAAATATGGGTTATGCACCAGGGCTTGCCTTGGGCAGGCGGTGGGTCAGCAAGGTCAGCACCAAATGGCTTCGGGGCTCCTTCCTGCACGAGGATCTCCTCCTCGTACTCCTCAATGACCTCTTCGTAACCCTGTTCGTCCACGGGCATGAACTCTACCAACTCGTGATCTACATGCATGAAATGATGATGCAACACTTAGTAATACGGCAACAACAACTCTTAAAATAAAAATATACCTATCCAATTACTAAGCTAGTCCTACCGACTAATGTGCTAAGTTACCTATTGTTACCACTAACAAATATGCAGCGTGACATATCTTATCTTAGCAACTAAAGTTATTCTTACTCCTAACACCGATTTACTCTATATATAATAAAGTAAGGAGTAATAGCTACTCTATCCATCAACCTACTCTAGAGCTACAAAAATTATAGTAAGCACATAATAATCTCATGAGTCTACTGTAAAAATTTTATGGCTAAAGCTATCACCGGTTTGCCACAAAAATTCCTACAAATATTAAGCTAAATAATTTGAATTTATGAATCTATCATTATAACATCTAACTATGAACCAACTATACCAACAGATAGATAGCATTTTTGTGAACCTAACAATTTTTGTTTCACCATTTTTGGATACCCACAACATTTACTATTATTTTCCAAAGTTCAACTCGAAACTATATTGAATAACTCTTTAGTAATTCGCTGAAAAATGAAAACCGACTTCCTCCTCGCGCGGCCCGCTTCCGAATGGTGCGGCCCACAGCCACGCACACTTAGCACTCCAACGCGGCCCACCGCGCGCTGGCTCTTTTGTAAAAGGGCCCCAGTTCTCTATCCTATTCGCGAAACTCACTTGAGCACTATTTCACCGAGTCACGGCGTTTGCATCTACCACCCTTCCCTTATTCCAATTTCTGTTTCCCAAGGTCCCTGGCTA